GTACAACTTACTGACATCCAGACCTTCTAGAGCCATTGAGGTTGGATGAACCCCTGAAACTATTGACCTGAGATCATCTTTAAACCATAAGTCAAAAATGTCTCCTGAAATCTTCTTTAAACCAAACAACAGTTTTAGCTTAATTGGTAGAGAACTATCTATATGAGATCAAATTGACAACAGCAACTTAAAAGGTTAGATAGAAAGCTTAGGGGGTAGTGAGTTTATGTCAGTGGGGAAGGAACAATTCGGAAAAGGAGGGTGAGAATGGTTGCACAACTTGAAGAATGTAATCAGTCACTGAATTGTACATTTAAAAATTGTTGAATTGTGTGTTTTTCTGTGTATATTGTCAACAACAATTAAAAAAGGAAAAAAAAATATACCCTAGACATTGGTCTAATAAAGTCACTTCTGGCTTTAAAATTCTATGAAAAGTATCATTCTCATTGTTTTCATCAATATAACTCTCATAATTGTCCCTATTTTAACCGAAGAAAAAGCAGATACCTTACTTTTCAAAAATAACACACACACACACATATAACTTGTGGCATAGCATGCTTGTGAAAATAGCAGGGGGAGGGTGCACGCAGTTGGCAAAAAATGTATAAAGTGTGCGTTATTTGCGTAAAAATACGGTAAGCCTCCAAAGTATCGAGCTTCTGTGTGCCAGTTGAACACTGCACTAGAGTGCTGCAATTTGAAATGTTCCTAAGTTTAATTGAAGTTGTAGGATTTAATATTTAACTATAACCTCTGTGTTGCTAACTATATTATTAGAATAAAAACACAAGAAGTTATTCTGGATGGAATCTGAAATAATTATCTACTTTGACCATGAATTTTCTAAGTGGATAGGATTTAGAGAAAAACAGAGGAGGATCTTAAAGGAAATATCTGGAGAATGAAACTTAAATGTTTCTTCATTGATGTATTTATTCATACCATGTAAAAATAAATTTTTAAAGGGACTAAGAAGGGTATAATGTTATTAATATAAAATGCCTTTGCAGCATTGCAAAGCAGCATACCACAGCTTGAGCAACATTTGCACTTTGAAGTTGTCTTCCTCAGCCCTTGTGGGTGGTCTGAGATCACAGAGCTGTGGCATCGTCATTATCAAAGAACTGGTACTAATTCTCACTCCTTTGGTTGGTCCAGCCCTTTGGAAAGATAATTGAAATTATTTCAGTATAGTATATTAATTTTTAAAGGCTGTGGTAGTTAACATTTTAAGCTTAGTGTTATCCCTTATAGATTAAGAATAAAATACCTTGGTTTTCTGGGAGCCCTACGTGGAGCTTTAAATATAAATGCGTTCCCTTTTTAACTATATTCATGCCTCCCATCAAAATCATTTAAATTATTTTCTAAAGCAGAGACACAACACATATTTCAACTCCCACTTAATAACAGTGCAAAATTTGGTAACATCTGAATATTTTCTTTACTAATTGCAGTGTTAGTTTGAAGTTCATTATATGAAACTGATTTTTTTTTCCCCAAACACAACTTTTGCACATCACATTTACTTTAATCGGTACTTTGAATAATAAACTGTTTTTCAGCTAGAAAATATTGTTTGATATTGCTAATGGAATGATTTTAGTGTTCAGCTTAGCTATTATGAGGAATCTTATTTTGTCTTATATTTTTAAAGTAATTCTCCATTGTAGCATGCTAATTAACCTGATAACTATTTTTCTTTTTTTATAGTCAATGTGATAAAATTATATAAAATCAGTGCAGTAAACAGTGGGAAATAGAGTTTTTATGATGCATCTAGATGTGTGTGTCTGTGTGTGTGTGTACCCTCTAGTGTTGTTTAATAATTTTGCATTCACCATTCTTGAGTGCCAAGCACAGTACCACACACTTAGTAGTTTGTCAGTAAATAGTGTTGCCGCTGTTGAAATAATGTCAGTATCATATATAGGCACTGTAGTATTAGATGGAGTGGCAGGATAACAGAAAGTCTACATCTCTAATGATGTAAACAGGAAACTGATATCATTTATATTTATGCAATTCAACAAGTATTTATCAAATGTAGTATATGTGCGCTCAATACTATGCTATCATCTATGTGGGCAAGGGGAGAAAAAATAACTGAAAGATTCACTTCTTCCCATAAGGAGGTCAAAAGCTAGTTGAGGCAGGAGAGGGTGACTAACAAGACCCCACATTTTCTCCCAATGATATATTGTGTGGCATTATTCTCTGTGTCTTGTAGTATGGATATTTAATTACTATAAGAGATTAGAGGAAGGAAAATTCAATGTAGGTTACAATAATTTAAGGTGGCTTTGTGATGTATGTGAGACTTGAATTGAGCATTGAAAAATTGGCTACGATTTGGAAATGTGGGTAAGAGGAGATTTCTGGTGGGAGCAATGGCATGAACAAAGACTCAGAAGCAAAACTAATCTTTGGAGTGTTCAGAGGACAATAAGTCTTCCTAGGTTGGCTCAAAGAGTTCATGTTGAGGAGCAGTGGGAGATCATATTAGATATTTAAAATGAAATCCTACTAGAGAGGTCTATGAATGCCAGGACAAAGCATTTGTAAAATAGCAGTGAGCCACTGAAGGTTTCTGAATAGGGATGTATGTCATGCCTCGTACTGAGAGTGTGAATGCTGAAGGATCCTGAAGACAAGGTGGAAAGCCATGACTGGGAAATTCAAGGCAAGCTGGAGACAAAGCTGGGGAGCAAGTGGCTGCAGTGCTGACCTGAAAGTCAGAAACCAGGCAAGAAGTTGGGGTTAAAAAATGTACACACACAAAAGAATAAAGCCAGCCAATGTAGGTAGCTGACATGAAGCCTAAGCAGCAAGGAAATCTTGAAACTGGAGGCATGTCTGCCATAGGCAGGAACTCCCTTGTAGTCTTTTTCTGGGGACAGGAATTATTTCCAGGGTTGTAGGTAGGTGTGAGTGAATCTTCTAATGGAGATGTAAATGGAGTGGCAGATATCTGGACAAATTCTGATATGGTCAAAGTGGAGTTTCAGAAAGATGAACCTGTCACTGTTATGAGGAATGGATTAACACGGGATGAAGCCAGCTTTAGATGGGCTGGTTGAAAAATAATTGTAACAAAGGAGGAGTGGACTGACAGAAGCTTAGACAAAGATTGTAATTGTGGGAATTGAGAGGAATGAATTCGTATGAAAAATAATTCAAAGAAAAAAATCTGTGAAATGCAGAAATGAAAGATGGTTCTGAGATTTCAAACCTGAGTAAAGGAGGCAATAGTGATACCAGGGGTGAAAACGGAAGAGTTGGGAAAAAATTTGTATGTGAAGATTTCAGCATTTCCTGACTTCTTCCCAGTCCAGTAGAACTTGGCTAGAAACAGCGTTCATAGCACATGGCCAGTGGCCAACATACTGAATAATTCAGACAGACACTAAATCTCATGGAGATCTTTGAGTGCAGTTTATTTTTCACTTTGGTTTCTGGCCACATTAAGGTTTTAGAGTAACTCTTGACAGACTTGTTTATTTAAGGGATTTTCAATAATTGAGGCACTTATATGGTGCTTAAATGATGGTAGAATTATGCTGAAACTTTGGTAAATAAAACATCCAGAGGTGGGGCAGATTAACCAGTAAGCAAGGTACACACCAGCTTACATTAAGCAAGGTACGCACGGGCTTACTTGTGTTTACTTACTAATATGTAGTGAACAATTTCACGTGGGTCTCACCACAGCAAAGAATAAAGTTCAGTGCTTCAGTATGCAAGTAAGTTACATCTAGGCAATGCATCTGATGAAAAGTTTTCTCCAAATTAGAACTTCCTTCTTATTGGTCAGATATTATCTTCCAATGACACCATGACACTGAGTTAACAAAACAGCAATGTTCAGTTTGGGAGAAAAAAAGTCAGATGAGATGTTTAGTAATAAGAACTATTTATTAAATATCTGTTACATGTGGACCGCTTTATATACATTATTTAACTTAATTAAAAAATAATTCTATGAAATATGTACTTTTATTTTCCTCATTTTACATTTGAAAAAACTACAGCCAGAGAGGTTAAGTAAATTGCCTTAGATTATACAAAAGTAGACATAGAGCCAGGATTCAGAATCAGGCATGGTATGACTCTGAAGCTGTTTTTTCATTGCTACACTGTACTGGCTTTTCTGGCTTAAGTGATCAAACAAGGAGATTATGAATTTACTAGGCCATTCAGCACTCCACCCAGGAAAGATATGATTCTGTCATGTGTGAAGAAATAATACTTCATTTATAAAGTGTGCCACAGAATGTTTGACAACCTATATACCCATGTTTCTGTCAACGGATATCTTTACTCATTGCACCAGGCTCCATGCAGTAAGAACTTACATTTCTAGCAGCTCAATATAAACATGTTACAAGCCTTTTGTTGCCTTGATTTTGGTTTGACCCAGATGCTCTATGAAGATCCTAAACTTAGATTGGGGATGTAGAAAATTATTGTACAACTGTTTTAAGAAAAATCCAGATATTAGCAAAACATCCAGACGTGGGGCGGATTAATCAGTAAGCAAGGTACACACCAGCTTACGTTAAGCAAGGTACGCACGGGCTTACTTGTGTTTACTTACTGGTATGTAGTGAACAATTTCACGTGGGTTTCACCACATCAAAAAAAAACAGGTGAAATTGTTCACTACAGATTAGTAAGTACGCACAAGTAAATCTGTGTGTACCTTGCTTATTGAAAAACCTGACCCTGTTGAGGTTCAAAACACTGTTTCTTTTTTTTTAAAAAAAAAGCAAAGTATACCTTTGAAAAATCTTTTATACACTGAACAAGATTTTAAATGAATATGTGGCATTTGTATTCTTATGTGAATGACATTTTATAGACATTTATTTCTAACTAAATTTGTTTCTATAATAAAAGTACATGCTAAAGAGTTTAAACTTTACTTTTTTCATCACCTACAAAACTAATGGCAAATTGTTTTTGTGTTGTTTTGTCTTTTGTTCTTCTCACAGCTGAATTTTTATTCCTCTTGTGGGGTGTTTATCTCTGCTATGCAGTGCGGACAGTCCCATCAGCTTTTCATGAACCACGCTATATGGCTGTTGCAGTTCACAATGAGCTCATTATCTCTGCTATATTCCATACAATTAGGCAAGTGATCTGCAGAGCCAGTAATTAACTGTTTTATTTTTCTGATGTGTTGCAGTTTAATTTAAATAGCAAAATTAGATAGAATGTGTAATGGAAAGATTTAGGAAGGATAACTGTTTTCTAAGTTGACCAATTTCTTTGTCACAGATATGGCAAATGCATACAGTTTTTTTTCAAACTCTATTGTTCTTACTTTTTCTAATATGTTGTTTATTGCCTTCATTTATTGTGAAGGTTAATTCAATGTTATTGCATTTTGTTAAACCACTTATGGAGATGTCATTGGATATTGCTTTTTTGCTATGTAATACTTTTTGTTTTGAAGATATAAAGTTACAAGTACATACATTATAAAGTATATATAGATAAATTGTCTATGTTTTAGTTCATGTTTAATATGCTGGCTTATACTTTCAAGTAGGCAACTTATTTGTGTAAATTCTGCTGAATTCAGGACAAAAAATGGTGAGTGACATTAAAATCTGATGACTGAATTATTGCAATTAGATTTTGTCATTATCATGTTTTAGCAATGAATTTCTGTGATAAGAATGTATAGCCTGGCCCTCTGTTTTGATTATCCCATGTATTTCTATAGCAGATGTGTACAAAGGAAGAAGAAAGTGACTTATGATGAAGTAAACCAAATTAAACATGGAAGTATTTTCTGAGAATTTTCACCTGATTCATATTTGAAAATGAAATGAAAATTTGAGGGTAGAACTAAAAAAAAAAAGTAATCCTATAATTTAAAAAACAACAAAAAGATGTCATTGTCATTCAATTGCTTGATATATTTTGAAAGTTAGGATACACTTAAGAGTGTAATTAGAATTTTTGAATCTTTGTCTTTGTCCTCAGTGGGAAGAATTGGTGGAGGGAATCCTTTTTCTTTTATTTCAGTTCCTTTGGTGATATTCAGACTGTACTGGAAATCAATAGAAGTGGGGGTGGCATGGGAGGATGTGTACTTTGTGGAAGTTTTGCAGGCTGCTTATCATCTCTTATTTTGGTCAGTAATCATAAAATGGTATCATGCACCTTTAGGAATAGATGATGCCAGTCAGCAGTTGGGCCTTTGGCATAGCCTACACTTTTTAAACTTCCAATAATAAAAAAAGGTATTAAGGTATGACAACCTCAGAAACTCCATCAAGGTCCAGGAATCAAGGGAATTTGCCTCCTTGCTTTGGGCTGTTGTCTTCCCTCTCTCAAGAGTGAGGGAAGATAGAAGAGAAGAAAGAGATTAGAAAAGGGAGGAAAAATGAGAAGGAAAATTTGAGATTACAAGTAAGAAAGGAGAAGAATGCTTTCTCGACTCGACTCAGACTATCATTCAAGGATGTGAGAGGGGATTAAAGTAGGAGGCACCAGAGAAAGCCCTGTCATGGTGGCAGAGCTCTACAGCATTTTTATTTCTCTCAGACTATCTCCCAGATGAGGCTGCTTTTTGTTTGTTTGTTTCCAGCTTATCAAACACAAATATTTCAAAATCTAACAAACATGCTTTTCTAGAAACAGTTATAAGTTAAGTGTTACATTAACAAACCAGTTAAAGAGTTGTACACATGTGAAAGGGTTTATTACAGATGAGTTAAATGTCTTCTGCTGTCATAATATGACCATGTAATGTAAAGGGTTTTCCGCTTTTGCCCTACAATTAGCTGCTAGATTTCTTAGGATCAAATTAATTGTCAAAGTAATTAAATATGTTTAAATGAGTTGCCTAAAATTGATCTATATCTTTTTCTACCTTAAGATTTGCTCTATTCAGATTTCATCATTAAGTATTTTTTTTCAATGGATTCTAAAAACTCTAATCAGGCTCAGATACTTTCAGAAGGTAATTTTATTTTATTTTATTTTTTTGACCTTTAAAAAATTTCTTAATACTGAGACAACAGATGATCATTACAAAAAAAATTATAAACTGATTAAAAGAAAAAAGTAAGCAACTCCCTAATCTAAGCCCCAAAAGATAAACACTGTTAAGACCTGGAAATAGGGAAAGAAACCAAAATGGAAGAACATGCTCAGCATTTCTCAAGCTGAAAGAACTGAAGAAAAAGTTCAAGCCTCGAGTTGCAATATTGAAGGATTCTACAGGGAAATTATTAAACAACGCAGGAAGCATCAAAATAAGATGGAAGGAATACATAGAGTTACTGTACCAAAAACAATTGGTCAACGTTCAACCATTTCAGGAGGTAGCATATGATCAAGAACTGATGCTACTGAAGGAAGAGGTCCAAGCTGCAAGGAAAGCATTGGTGAAAAACAAGGCTGTGCAGAATACCAATTGAGATGTTTCAACAAACAAATGCAGCGCTGGAAGCACTCACTCATCTATTTAAAAATTTAGAAGACAGCTACCTGGCCAACCAACTCGAATAGATCCATATTTGTACCCATTCCCAATAAAGATGATCCAACAGAATGTGGAAATTATCTAACAATATCATTAATATCACACACAACTACAATTTTGCTGAAGATCATTCAAAAGTGGTTGCAGCAGTACATGGACAGGGAGCTGCCAGAAGTTCAAGCCAGATTCAGAAGAGGATGTGGAACCAGGGATACCATTGCTGATGTCAAAAGGATAATGGCTGAAAGCAGAGAATACCAGAAAAATACTTACCTGCGTTTTATTGACTATGCAAAGGCATTTGAGTATGTGGATCATAACAAATTATGGATAACATTGCAAAGAAAGGGAATTCCAGAAGACTTAATTGTGCTCATGAGGAACCTGTACTTAGACCAAGAGGCAGTCGTTCAAACAGAACAAGGAGATACTGCGTGGTTTAAAGTTAAGAAAGGTGTGGGTCAGGATTGTATCCTTGCACCATAGTTATTCAATCTGTATGCTGAGCAAATAATCTGAGAAGCTGGACTATATGAAGAAGAATGCAGCATCAGGGTTGGAGAAAGACTCATTAACAATCTGTGATATGCAGATGACATAACCTTGCTTGCCGAAAGTGAAGAAGACTTGAAGCACTTAATGATGAAGACCAAAGGCCACAGCCTTCAGTATGGATTACACCTCAACATAAAGAAAATAAAAATTCTCACAACTGGACCAGTAAGCAACCTCATGATAAATGGAGAAAATATTGAAGTTGTCAAGGATTTCATTTTACTTGGATCCACAATCAACACCCATGGAAGCAGCAGTCAAGAAATCAAATGACATATTGCATTGGACGGATCTGCTGAAAAAGACCTCTTTAAAGTGTTAAAAAGCAAAGATGTCACTTTAAGGACTAAGGTGCACCTAACCCAAGCCATGGTGTTTTCAGTCGCCTCATGTGCGTGTGAAAGATGGACAATGAATAAGGAAGACCAACGAAGGATTGACGCCTTTGAATTGTGGTGTTGGCAAAGAATATTGACTATACCATGGACTGCCAGAAGAACGAACAAATCTGTCTTGGAAGAAGTACAGCCAGAATGCTCAAGAGAAACAAGGATGGTGAGATTATGTCTCACATACTTTGGACAGGTTATCAGGAGGGACCAGTCCCTGGAGAAGGACATTATGCTTGGTAAACTAGAAGGTCAGCAGAAAAGAGGAAGATCCTCAACGAGGTGGATTGACACAGTGGCTACAACAGTGGGCTCAAATTTAACAAAGATTGTGAGGATGGTGCAGGTCCAGGCAGTGTTTCATTCTGTTGTACATGGGGTCACTATGAGTCAGAACCAGCTCAACAGCACCTAACAACAACAACAAGATTTTAGTATATCATTTTTAGATGTTTTCAAATGCAAGTGTGTATATCTATGATATATTGTATTTTATGGCACCCTTTTTGGAGCCTCACAATGCAAATTAGCATGCTGAGAAGTTTGACTGTAAGGAAACCTATTTAAATTTGTTTAGCCAGCATTTTCCAAATTTAGCTGACCACAGAATCCCCCTCAATCCTCCCTTGACATCTGACAACAGCAGCCACGCTTCAGAAAATACTCCTTTAGTAATGGACCAAGGTCATAGGAGATATTTGTTACATACTGATGGAAAACAGCTTTCTTACTTTGCTTAAGTCTTTCCCACAGAATCTCGAACAAGTCATCATCCCAGCTTAAAGAGTCATAGGAACTATGAGCTGAGTTCATGTAGATGCAAGCTCGGATTGAATTGTTCACGTTGTACCTAGTAGGTTTGGTGTTGAGTAGACGTAACATACATAATCAATTTTCTTCCAGATAACCATGTGGACTCTTATTAGTTTTGAATAGGGAGGACTTCAATGGTAACAGACTGACACAGAAAGAGTAACTAGCTTTGAGAGGCTTTGGTATATCCTTAGGCAAACCTAAATATGCCTGAAGAAAAAGTTCCAAATTTGAACTATCTCTCTACTTGAATCAGGTTGTGGCATATTGTCATCAAAGACTCATAGTATATATTAGCTATTCTCTCTGGGGAATTTAATATGTATGGCCATAAAAAACATGGAATGAAATTATAGTTAATACATTAAATTTGTAAAACACTATTTTGGGGGGTGAATAGGGAACAAGTAATAGGCAATAGGAAATCAAGTATACACAATTACTTATTTATCACATGGACTGAATTCACATGTGTCATGGTTGCAATATTTGTAGAGTAAGAAAAAAGAAGCTAGAACATAATAATTTAAATTGACTGACTCCATCTTTGTAATTTTTTACTCAATTAAAAGACATTAAATAAGACTTCTAAGATCAGCATATATGTATTCTCTATCAAATATGGCATATATGTTCATATATATTATTATTACCTTTTATTATCATTATCTTTATAAATACAATCTTTATTTGTCTTTAGGGGTTGCAAACATTACATATAAACATATAGATATGACAACATCAGCAGATTACACACTGCAACATCATATGTAGTACATATTACTAGTGATAAAATGTACAAAAAAGGAATGGTCATAAGTAGGGTTCGTTGTAACTCAAATACATTGTAAGTCAGGGACTACCTGTTTGTATGTATTTGTGTATGTGTGTGTGTGTGTGTGTATGTATATATATATACACATATATATGTTGTTGTTAGGTGCCATCGAGTCAGTGCCCACTCATAGCAACTCTATATACAACAGAACGAAACAGTGCCCAGTCCTGCACCATCTTCACAATTGTTGCTGTGCTTGAGCCTATCATTGCAGCCACTGTGTCAATCCATTTTGTTAAGGGTCTTTCTCTCTTTCACAGATCTTCTACATATATATATATATATATATATATATACACCAAACCAAAAAATCCTGTTATCATTGAGTCAACAGTTATAAATAAACTATAACTACATAATTCATATAGATTTATCTTTATTCTTACCACATTGTCAGATTTGAGATAAATAAAGTAACATCAAAGTATTAAGTCTAGAAGGATAAACAATACAGAAGGCATTTTCCCAGTCTGTTCTAATCCTTTATTTTTTAGTGCTAAGCATAAAACAAACCTTTAGGAAAGTGCAGGAATTTAAAAAGGTTTGCTTTATTTTTAACTGCAGTTTTTAAATATTTTTATGCTCCTGGCTTTTAGACCTATTTTTAAAAAGTTGAAATTCCCTTTTTAAAATGAAGCTTTAAAACTACTGCAAAAAACAATTTTTTGTAAGACATTTCTAGTCAGAACTGCAACCTAAAAAGCCTGGCAATGATTAAAAGTTGATTAATTGACAGATAATTGATGTTAGCATACTTAAAGTTATATTTTGGAAGATTCACCTTTTTTAATTTAAAATATATGTAACCGTTCTTCCTTCCAGATATAAACATACTAGTTTAAAGTTCACTTGTATTGGCATTTGAGATAGGAATTTCCAGTACATGAGGATGCTTTTAAAATGTAAATCCATTCACTTTGATGTAACTTTCTGCTCTGGTACTGGCAATGAGCCCCAGCCAATTGGGATTTAATCATTTTTCCGGGGTAAATTATATATTGTTTATATGTCTCAATACTATACCTCAGAAACTTATTACTGAGTGTGATGATCCTGTTACAATGTTTAAAAAAAAAAAAAAAAATGAGCTCACTTGACCCAGCAAACAGACTATGTCAAAAGTACCTCAGCCCTGAACCAAGTAAATATTCAGTCATATTCAAGGCATATGTAGAAGGCCACTTTTCTCATAAGGTAGTTAGAGAAGACGGTAATCCAGAAAATCCTTTTTAATTCTGTATGAACTATCATGAGTGTTCTGCACTCTTATGTATATTATTTAAAAAAGAAAAAAACACCAAACCTATTGCCGTCAAGTTGATTCTGACTCATAGTGACCCTGTATTATGTGTTTATTTTATTTACCTCTCCAGACACCTGGGAGATAACTCTTCATTTTGGATAACTATTGAGCTTCCATTTTAGCTTCATGTTCATGGGGTGAGGAGTGGGGAAGGTAAAGATGAGGAAATTTTGATGAAATGTTTGTTTTAAATATTAATAACATAATTCATAAAAAAATTCCTATTGGTAAATTTGTCATGAATATGGTATAATGCAGATATAAAATTAGTTTCTTCTGTTTTTAACCATCCATATATGTTTGTTTTATTATTATGATATCATGAGCATTTTCATAGAATGCAAACTTTTCACATTTGATGATGTAAATCATTGAAACAAAATTCTAATTCTCTAATTCCAGAAACAGTAGTAAAATCTCATATTTAGCTTTTATGGATAAACAATGGATAAAAAAAATTAAGAGAAGTATGTGATTTAAAAGTGACCTTTACAAAAGCAACACCTGATTTCTTCATTAGGATGAGTCCTTTAAACACAAGGTTTGGTTTGTATATGCACCCAATGATTTACAGAAATATTCCAGAATTACCATAGTAGACATCAGGATGGAATCTCTCCCATACCCATGTTTCCTCTAGACCATCCTGGATCACAATTTTATAAATTCCTTAGTAAGATCAGATTTTAAACATTACATTTTAAATTATTTTAAAACATATTTGATGCTTCAGAACAACTAAAATTTTTAGTATAGAAGATGTACTTTACAAGCCATTGGTCTATTCATTTAATTCATTGTATTGTTTACCATTTAAGCCCATGAGCTCATTCAGAAAGGCAGATAATTATCCACTCTTTTTGTCTTAATTCTAATTAATATTTTAAATGACTTTAAAGAATACCAGAATCAAGAGTCATTTGGATGTGTTTTATAACTCATATTTTCCTGAAACCACCAGTTGGTAACCTACTTTTCCCTTAAAATCACATTTGTTTATTGTATTTGCTTTGCATATTCAACTTACTTACAAAACAGGCTTAGGAAATGTTTAGCCCATTCTATACGTATATGTTATATTTCTTACTGTTAATATTATAAAGTAACAAATAAGAAAGTGTTCATAACTTATGCACCCAGTTAGATTTTCTTAGACCCTTGTTCTTCTGTGATAAAAACATGTGTTGTAGAAACAGCAGTACAATTTTTTTTTTTTTAATACACGGAGGGAAAGAGTTGTAAAGTATCCTAGTGTTTTAAGCAGAAATCTTTGTTGGGTTGTTAACTCGATGAGTTCTCATTTCAGATTTGTTCTTGCTTCAAGACTTCAGTCTGACTGGATGTTGATGCTGTATTTTGCACATACCCATTTGACTGTGACAGTCACCATCGGGTTGCTTTTGATTCCAAAGGTATTCTTCTAACACTGCTTTTCTCTTGCGAGACAGTTATATGAGATTAGCAGAAGATGTTTCTCCTTTAAAGAATATCTGGCAATATATACAAAGGGAGGTATGGAAATTAACTTGACACTCTAAAATGTTTTTAAGGCTCTCTCAGGAAACTGTGTCCTTTTTGGATTTATTAAACATCTTACATAATTTTTAAATGCCTCAACTTGTTCAAAATCCATCATCTGTTTGTTTCAGTCCTTTTATAACTATTTTAATGTCTAGTTATATATTAATTATTACAGATTCAAGGTACAACATCATGACCATTTTTAAAAAGGATTATTCTATTCTAAACATCCTCTTGTTTAGATTCACATTCAGAAAGGTCTTGTGTTTTTAAACATTCAGAGAATTTTTATGTAACTAGAAATAACTATAATATTGTTTAGAGAAGAATCTCAGTAAATAATGATAGATTCTGACAAAGACTTATCTAGGCAGCATTATATAGTGGAGGGATTCTGACTCCTACTCCACCACACAGTAGCTGTGTAATACATTAGCCAAGACTTTTTTATCTCTCTTAATTTCAATTTCCTCATCTATGACATGATAGCAATAATCTAGTAGTAGTATATATAAGACTGCTTGACTTATATATATTATATAAATTACATATGTAAGAGTTTTATATATATATATATAACATATATAAGATTGCTTGGAATGAAATAAAATGGTACAGGTGTTTTAAAAATAAAAATGTACTATACAAATTACAGCATTATCACTGTTATTTCCCTGTTTGCAGATAGCGAAACAAAACGTTAAAGCATTATCTATCTTTATCAATGCTACACAATAAATATATCAGTAGCACAGCTGAAACCAGAATTTTGAATTTTTATCTTTCACTCCAGGCTTTACTTCAACTCTCACAATTCACCAAACTGTTGAGATTCGATTGAAAAAGCCAAATTGTTATAAATAGAGCAAAATACTTATTTTCTTCCCTACTTGAAGTCCAGTACATCAACTAGCCACAATTTTCATGTATTAGTCTATTATTGAAATGTATCTTAATAATTGACATACTCTGCATGATGTAATGGACACATTTATTAGATGGATTTACCTCAGACTATTTTTTCATTTAACAAATATTATTGAGTTTCCAAGAAAATTGAAAAATATATTCATACAAAAACTTTTACACAAACACTCACAGCAGCATTATTCTTAATAGCCAAAAAGTGGAAACAACCCAAATGTCCGTCAGCTGATGAATGGATAAACAAAATGTGTTAAATCCATACAATAGAATATTATTCAGCCACGGAAAGGAATGAATTGCTAATACATGCTGCAACATGAATGAACCTTGAAAACATTATGCCAAATTAAAGACAGACACAAAAGGCCACATATTGTAGGATTCCATTTATATGAAATGTCCAGAACTGGCAACTCTATAGAGACAGAAGGTAGATTAGTGGTTACCAGAGGGAGGGAGAAAGGGAAATGGGGAGTGACTGCTAACGAGCACGAAGTTTTACTGATTATGAACACATTCTGAGATTAGATAGTGGCGTTGGTTGCACAACCTTGTGAATATGCTAAAAAACACCAAATTGTACACTTTAAAGTGGGGAATTTTATGGTATGTGAATTATTTCTCAACTTTTAAAAATTTAAGTATTATTGAGGAGCTATGTTAGGCACTGTTCTACATCCTGGAATAAGAGTAATGAACACATAAAAATCTGTGTTCTCATGGTGCTTATATTATGGTGGGGAGAAAGAGAACATAAACAAAATGCTAAAATAGCATTTTAGATAGAGATAAATGTTGAGGAAAAATAATAAAATAGGAAATGGATAATAACTGATAAATAACTGCTCCTTAAACTTGTAATTGTCTAAGATTTTGCTCAAGAAAAGCAATTTCATTCTTATAAGTAACCTCCAGGGTGGTTTAAAGTGTAGAATGTGAGAGTTTGGAGAGCAGGGACTCTATTGTTTTCATCTTTATGGCCTAAATTCATGACACACACAGATCCACAAATGTAAGTAGATGAGGAAAGGAAAGATTGATCAGCTTCTATGGATTTCTCAGTCTCAATTCAAAACATTCATTATTGCTTAAACAGAGAATTGCCATTTCACATGTTATCTCATATTCATGTTCATTAGGCTAGCTGAATATTTTAACAAAAGTTCACAGTAAAATATCTCTTTACAATCAGAAGGAGCCCTGGTGGTGCAGTGGTTAAGAGCTTGTCTGCTAACCGAAAGGTCGGCAGTTCGAATCCACCAGCCGTTCCTTGGAAACCCTATGGGGCAGTTCTCCTCTGTCCTGTGGGGTTGCTATGAGTCAGAATTGACTCATCAGCAACGGGTGTTTTGGTTTTACTGTCAGAACGTGATATGTTAATTTTTTACAGGAATCTGACCTGATGATAAGCTAGGAGAGGAGAACTCATGTTCTCTAACCTATTCTCTCAATTTTCATAGGACAATCACTTGGTTTACAGGTTATCCAGGTGGCTGGATTGTTTTGACTTTCCTTCCTGCTATCCATCATTTATCCAACTCACTCTTCCTGACTTCTCCACTTAAAAAAGAATAGAGGTAGCAAGAGTGCCTGAGACTGAAAAGTGTTAAAGACCAAATGAAAATAGTCAAAATATTTCAAAATATAATGACGGAAGAACTTAAGAATAATGATGAACTTAAGAATAAAATGCAAATGTATCATGGAAGAGGAATAAATGTAACTTAACACTGGGACCCTGGAGAAAAGACAAGGGTGAAAATAGGAGTCAGAGAGGGGACCAAGTGCTAATATTGCCTTACTAATAGGTATAGCATTTAACATGGAAAACAAAACACAAATATTTTTTAGAAATCTTTTGTAAAGAATTTAGTGAATGGATTTATCTAAGTGAAGAAATGATATTAACATTATAACCCTTAGAAAGTTATTGTGCTATGTTTTACAATGGGTTAATGCCTACAGCTTATACTGAATATCTATTGCAGTTTTCACATTCAAGCAATAACCCACGAGATGATATTGCTACAGAAGCATATGAAGATGAGCTAGACATGGGCCGATCTGGATCCTACTTGAACAGCAGTATCAATTCGGCCTGGAGTGAGCACAGCTTAGATCCAGAGGACATTCGGGTAACGCCAGTATTTCCTGTGTTTTATTTCAGATTGAGTCCATTTATACATGCAAATATGTGTGAGTTGGTGTGATGTGTACTCACGTGTGTGTGTGTTAGAGAGAAAAAGAGAGAATTATGTGTGTGTGTGTTAGAGATATATGTGTGTGTGTGTTAGAGATAAAAAGAGAGAGAAAATGTGTGTTTGTGTGTAAACTGAAGATATCAAATACAGTTAGTTCAGTTCTAAAATATATACTCATGGTATAAATTAGAATGCACAGGCTATTTCACCTCTTACAGTAGCCTGGCCAACTTTGATAGTGTTGACTGACTTGATGGCAGTCATAATGGTTAAATGATTATACATGTTCCGTAAGAGATGTTTATGACATCTTGCTGATGGAAAGGTAGGGTAGATCTCTGAGCAGAGAGCCCACATTATTTAAAATAATCTGTGGTGATAGATCAGCATTTTGAGGAAGAAGATGCTTTTAGTATCTGATTGTCTGTTGTTCCTTAACCTAGTCTAACATCAGATGTAACTTTATCAGTGGCTATATGATTCTTACAATATTGTTTAGATACATAGTTCATCAGTAGATAGACATGCTGTGTTTTGTTATAGTCTGTTATGGTCCAGGTTCAGTATGGTCCACATCACTTGCAAGTTCAAAGTACTTGATCCACGAAGCAAAGATGGAATGCATGAGTTCATGTCTTAAAGTTCAAGCTCCACGTGAAACAAAACACAATATCAGAAAATAAGAATGAGGAGAAAGTTGATGAGTACAAATGTTAGGAAAATCTGTAGAGCAGTTTCCCTACAGAGTTCAAGCTTATTGAATTTGAATAACATTTAGTAACATTATCTGGCTGAAATGTTATGTCTATACTTCTTTGAATTTGCTCTTGTTTAACAGGATGAGCTGAAGAAACTCTATGCCCAACTGGAAATATATAAAAGGAAAAAGATGATCACAAATAATCCCCACCTCCAGAAAAAGCGGTGCTCTAAAAAGGGCTTAGGACGTTCAATCATGAGACGAATTACTGAGATCCCAGAGACTGTCACCAGGCAGTGTTCCAAAGAGGACAAGGAAGTCACAGACCACAGCACAGCCAAAAGCACTGCCCCCGTTAGGAAGAACCCGCAAGACTCTTCATGTAACTCTGGAAAACCCAAGGAGGAGTCCCTAAAAAACCGAGTCTTCTCACTAAAGAAATCCCACAGCACTACTTATGATCATGTAAGAGAACAAATGGAAGAGTCCAATACCTTACCATCAGAAAGCCAAGAAGAGGAGGCTACAGAAAATTCCATGCTAGAGTCTCTGTCAAGTAAAAAACTAACACAAAAACTTAAAGAAAACAGTGAGTCTGAGTCCACGGAGTCAGTGCCTTTGGTGTGTAAGTCAGCAAGTGCTCACAATCTCAGTTCAGAGAAGAAGCCTGGGCACCCAAGAACATCTATGTTACAAAAGTCTCTCAGTGTCATAGCAAGTGCCAAGGAGAAGACTCTTGGATTAGCTGGGAAAACCCAAACGTCAGGTGTGGAAGAACGTGCTAAATCCCAGAAACCTCTGCCAAAAGATAAAGAGACAAACAGAAAATGTTCAAATTCAGATAACACTGAGACTAAGGATTCTGCCCCCCGAAACTCCAATCATTCAGAGGAGCCAAGAAAACCTCAGAAATCTGGAATTATGAAACAACAAAGGGTCAACACCCACACAGTCAATCCTGACATGAGACCAGCTACCACACAGACGAAGGACAACTTTGACAGAGAAGAAGTATGCCCTTGGGAGATTTATGACATGACCCCTAGTCTTGTGCCTTCAGAATCAAAAGTTCAAAAACATGTATCTATCGCAGCTTCTGAAATGGAGAAAAATCCAACTTCTTCCTTAAAGGAGAAATCTCATCAGAAGCCTAAGGCAGCTGAAGCATGTAAGCAATCCAATCAGAAGAACATAGATAAGGCTGAGGTATGCCCTTGGGAGAGCCAAGGTCCGTCCCTTTTTGAAGATGAAAAGCATTTGATTTCCAAGACTCGGGTTCTCCCAGGGAGACCTAAAGACGAGAATACCAGTCAGCATTATGCAGCCAATGTGTGTACTGGGCAATATGAAGAACTGCCCCCCAAAGTTGTAGCATCAAAAGCAGAGCGTGAAAATCTCAGTCAAATAGGAGATCGGGAAAAAAAGATATCTTCTTCTGAGGAAAATGTGCCTGGCTCCTATAACTCAAGTAATAACTTTCCTCAGCCTTTAACAGCTCGAGCTGAGGTGTGTCCTTGGGAGTTTGAGACCCCAGATCAACCAAATGCTGAGAGAAATGTAGCTTTACCTGCCTCTTCTGCTTTAAGTGCAAACAAAATAGCAGGGCCTCAGAAATAAGAGGTCTGGGAGACTTTTAAAGTGTAGCATCCCCAGAAAGAGAAGGAGGAAAACCTGAATTCTATATGAAACAGAAGATATAAGGATCAAAAATTCCCAACAAGTATTTGTCAATCAAGGGAAATGTGACAGATAATGAGATGAAGTCAAAAGCATGGGAGGGAAGAAGCCTAGAGGGCAGGAGCAACAATAATCACCAAGGAAAAGTCAGACTTTGGCTAAGACCAGGCATTTCCCTGCTAACAGTAGGAAAATATTTGCACATCAGCATGTCTAAGGGAAATAGCCCCCAATGTTTGCCCCTGATCGATATTTACTCATGGGACTTTGAAGATCCTAAGCAAGGCAAGCTAGAAGATACAGAAGAGGTGTGAGTCTTTGCAATGGGGAGAAAAGGTATAGACCTGTGTGACTGAAATTCTGAATAGCTGACTAAAAAGAACTTCTTACTTTACCTGTGTAACCTTGATAGCACTGCTAACTTAATGCATCCTCAAAATACCTTTTATATCAATGATTGCTCTCATTTTCTTATAAATATATGTTTCAGTACATTGTTGTGTCTCATATTCAAGCATTCCAAATTGTATAATTTTTGCAAATAAGTTTGATATTATGTGACACGACACATATATGCAATCTGCAGCTACTCAATTGTTATTGCAACGTAGAAAAATACCTGCTGTCAACTTTAGTTGGTTCTTGAAGTACGTAAGCTTTCTCTGGCTTGGGAAGCCATAACTGTTACGATAAAATCTTTTCATTTTGGCTGTGGTTTATATATTGTGAATTTGGATTTGACTCTATTATTTCACATCATGGTTTGTTATACTGTCTTAATCAGGGTTTTTTATACAAGATAAGTTACTTGTTTTTGCACTTCTTTTTAGTGTCAGAAGCTTTATTAATATTGGAGATAAAGTGGTCCTACTTAGTCATGTGTCTCATTAAGTTAAGGACAACTTTTCATTGTTTGTTAAAAGTCAGAGATAGATAACACCTTCATTCCAATTAATTGTCCCTTTTAACTCTTTCAGTATTTCATGCTTAGCAGCATTTCCTAAGGAAGAAGCTGAGTGAGAAAAATCTACTGTGGATTATTGTTTCCATTAGAAAGAGAAGACTCTAGGAATGATAGGAGAATTATAGCAGTACTACAGAGCCAGACAATTTGCCTTTTGAAACAAAGACAGAAAGGTAGCTCCCGATTGCACTTTCAAGGGATTATTTTTTTAAAGAGAAAAATTATGGTAGTATCAAGATCATTGTATGGATGTATATTTTATTATGCATACTGAATATATACTATTTTAAATTAACAAACTATTTATTCTCGTAAAGTCTTATTCATTGCTTCAGCTAGGGCTAGAACTTGCTGGGCTGAAATCCCAAAGAGATTTGTAACCTGATTTATTTAAAGCCTATAAAATAGTATGGGTTCTTCATTCTCCTAAGCACTGGAAAACTTGAAAATCCCACAAATTGTCATTGTGAGCCACCTGGCTCAGAAGTAAAAATGTAATGTTTATCTGCAAGCCAGACAGCACTCAAAGCATGTTCTATAAAATTTATTGCATTCCACACTGATAACTTGGCATGAAAATCCTAAACTGCTGACTTAGTACTATTGATGTGATCATGCAATGAGATGCTATTCCAAAACTCATTCTCATTTTATTTCAAGAGGAACCACTTAAAAATAGAACCCAGACTTCCCTTCTTCGCACACTACACACTGAAGTACAAACTGCTTATTTAACCAAGACATTTTCAGCCCAAATTTCGTAAGGGGCAAGAAGAACGTGCAAAGAGGATAAAAGATGGGTAAAAGGAATCAGAAGGTGGATATGGGCTGTTCTTAGAGAATATTGTTCTCAGTGGAAGGTACAAATTAGGAATTCTCCATCTTCAGAATCAAACTTTTCACAGCAGTTTTTATTCATCAGTAAGTGAGCGCGTCATTGTTTTGCAAAGCTGTGCATAAATCTTCCTCACCCATTTGCTTGCTTTGTGCATTACTCAGGTTGGTGGGGTAGGTTTGAAGAGAGAGAGAAACTCCTGTGTGTGTGTCTGTGTGTACCGTTCATTTATTTCTGTTTCTTCCCTTCCTAAGGATCCCTGGTGGTGCAGTGGTTAGCACTCCACTGCTGACAGATCAGTGGTTTGAACCCAGCAGCCGCTCCAGGGGAGAAAAGACCTGGTGATTTGCTCCCATAAAGAGTTCAGCCTAGGAAACCCTATGGGGCAGTTCTACTCTGTCCTATAGGGTCATTACGAGTTAGAATCGACTCAACAGCACACAACAAGAAACAACTTTCCTTCCTTATCAGTCAAGACCTGTCTACTTGAAGACCTTAGAATACTATTTTAAGGTCTGTCTGTTAGTTTGGTTTGGAGTTTCTAGACCCACCCAATTGCTTCATTTATTTCTGAGATCTGTTAGCACTTGATTCACTTTTTGAGAAATAAGCAGTCAAGCATCAGTGACTTTTTATTGCACTGCAGGATGATCTGGGTAGAGATGTGGCTTAAAGAAAACTTGCCAAAATATACCTAGTGACATTCTACAGTCCATAGATTATCCTCCACCAGCATAGATCAGCGAGAGTGCCTAGGGTCTTTCGTAGAGTTTCATTGCCATTACTTATCACCAAGAGAAGTTCAAATCTACAGTACTCGAGGCTATTCTACCCGATTCAAAGCAAAAAGGAAGTGAATAATGAATATTAAGGTCACAAACACTTGCTAGGTTGTCCTTCTCAGTGCATGTGCAGGCTGCATCCTGTCCTCGTTTTTTAGCCAGGGTTTATAAATAAGTAGATTTATACCAATCTTGATAGACCTGTATATTTTATGCAAGAATTAAATGCTTTAAGACATGAATTATAACTCAACTCATTGTAAACTTTGGTGGCAATATGGATTTGAAACTCGACAGTTCTCTTGTATTTGCTTCCTAGGTTTCTGCATGCAAGTGATGACAGGTAGGACTGAAAAACACTGCCTTTTAACTTCTAGCATTTAGTAACCGAGAGTTGTAGAGTCAATAAAGCTGTAAGTCTCTTCACTTAATCTGTGCTTCTTCTAAAATTATTATCTGAAACCTACAGCATCCCACCATGAAATATTTGGTAAATTTGTTGTGATGTGTTGCAGCATGTAAATAATTATAACTTCTCTGCAATAAAGCATATTTATATGAAAGTGATTGGTGGTGATTTGTGTGTTCATCTATCAAAAATTTGATTTATCTCACCAACTTTGGAAGGATGAATTCCATATAGATCTGTGGCTTCCGTACACTTATGCACATTCATCATCTTGCCTACTACAGGAATATGTAATTAGCCAAATGTGACCTCACACTTAGAGGTAATCATTTGAGACCAACAAAACCTACTAGTGCTATTGGTTTTGATTTCAGAAAACTCTTCCCAAAGGAGAACTAATTCAGATACCTTATTTATTTATTTATTTATTCAGCACACATACCAGGCAATCCTGCTAAGCAGTAATAATACAAAGATGAGCAAAATGAAAAAGACCTCCAATGACACTTAGACCCATAAAAGTATTTAGTCACTATTGTAGTAATACTTAGGAGAACATGACTAAGTCACAGAGTCAAGGAAGGTTTAATACAGAGTCCAAGTTCACAAGGCTGAAATTCTGCAAGGGCATGAGGTAGAAAGGGAAGGGGTGTAAGGTGGGAAAGGTAATTGTGTACAGCTATACATGCCATGCTTCAGGTTATCTACAGCTTTATCCTGCAGTATTGGGATACTTGTTAAAAGATTTTAAACAGGGGAGTAATCAGGCTATATATTATAAGGATCATTTTGGGAGCAGCCCAGAAATGAAATGGAGTGGGAAGAGACTAGGAGCTGCTAGACCAGTGAGAAAACTAGTGCAAGAGTCAAGATAAGAGAAGATGAGGGCCTAAGGAGGTGAGGAAATGATGACTGGTTATTTTATCAAAACAGTGTCTTCAAGTGGGTTTATTGTTTTGTTATATTCATTTGAAGTCAGAAAAATCAGAGCAGTAAGATATCTATGTCAAATACGAATGTTCCTTCTAAATTTGTTGCCATTTTGGCTAATCTCAAAAGTTTTAAAAGCCATCTCTGAAGACCTGTAGACGTCACATCATCTGCTCATGAGAAAAGCTGTGTTATAGCACACCTGGTTTGTGCTGTGGGAAATCTTGTTACTAAACTGGGCTGGGAGAAAAGGAGCTGAAGGCTTGCTGCCGCATAGACTTAAATTTGTATCTGTAAGTGGTAACTCCCAGAAGCAGGTGCGGAGAGGGCGGCAGGTGTGGCAAGGGGGCAGAGGGGGTAGATCCACACCTTATCTATGCACTCATCTTTCCTTTAGATGGCTCATAAAGAAAACCAGTTGTCAATGAGTTGATTCCAAATCATGACAACCCCATGTGTGTCAGAGTAGAACTGTGCTTCGTAGGGTTTTCAATGACTGATTTTTTGGAAGTAGACCGCCAGGCCTTTCTTCTGAGGTGCCTCTGGGTGGACTCAAACCTCCAACCTTTTGGTTAGCAGCCAAGTTAGCACCACCCAGGGACTCCCAAAATGGCTCACAGTGATTGCCCTTTCCCATCTCTTAAAACCATTGTGTAGTCCATATTCTATATACTCCTGGCATTTATACATAGAATCAGTGGTATAAGTGCCACTTTGAATGATCGTAATGACTATGAGAGAAGTGTTTAATGATTAGCAGCTCATGAAAATCAAGTCTATTGTGCTTTCTTATGAGATAAGGAAGATGTAGTCTTTTCAGTTATTGTTGGCATTGCTTAGTTGATGACTGTATTATTTTTCATATATATGATAAAGCTAGTCATTGTTTCTTTGTTCTAAATTTAGAAACTTCTTTGTTAAAAAAAAGTAGGGGAGATAATCCTGTCAGACATAGTCTATCACAAAATTGTAATAATATGAATCTATTGTTCTAAAACAATGCAGGTGGTTAAGATTTTC